TTTTCTTGATGTTTTGATTAAGAAGCAGTTTACTGATTCAGGGCTCTGATAGGCTGATCTCCTTAATTTATCTTCCATTTATCTGCTGTACAAAATAAACCAAGCAAAAGGATTTGCTGCTCATTATTCAAGTACAGTTTACAAGTGTTGGGTTACAATCCCTCGTCTCAATCTTCTTCCAGAGTATCACTTGCAGCTGTTATTGAAAGCCCTCCATGAAACTGGTTCCAGCTTAGCAATTAACTAAAGCAAATTTGCAAGGGCCAAGACGCAATGTAAAGAAAACATTAAATAAGTACATCCACAATTGGTACGGTTTTGGCAGCCAACCCATAAACAGTAAAAAGGCTGTTCAACCATGCTGTGTTACTTCTGTAAATATCAAGTTGCAAACTGTTTATACCATGTGCGTTTTGTTACGCTTAATAACCAAAAAACAAAGCAAGGAGCAACAGTTGAAGCTACACCAGTTATTAATATCCTAACATTTGTTGACCTTTGTAAATATTCACGGCTGAAGTTCAAGAAACCAACTGGAAACTGTGCTACATGCAGTCCAACCATCGCGTAGTCTAACTCTTGGTTGCCTGCACTGATGGGCAGCAGCAATCCAGCTTTGTACATTCCTTCTAAGACTGCTTATTATGGTTAGCTCCATATCCTCCAGAGGGACGTGGTGGCGCTGCGGGCTAAACCGCAGAAGCCTGTGCTGCAGGGTCAGAAGACCAAGCAGTCGTAAGATCGAATCCACGCGACGGAGTGAGCTCCTGTCGCTTGTCCCAGCTCCCACCAACCTAGCGGTTCGAAAGCATGCAAATGCGAGTAGATAAATAGGGACCACCTCGGTGGGAAGGTAACAGCGTTCCGTGTCTAAGTCGCACTGGCCATGTGACCACGGAAGATTGTGTTCGGACAAAAACGCTGGCTCTATGGCTTGGAAACGGGGATGAGCACCGCCCCCTAGAGTTGAACACGACTGGACAAAAATTGTCAAGAGGAACCTTTACCTTTACCTTTTTACCATATCCATACTGCAGATAAAGAGTCTCGGGCGGTAAGCCAGTGACTTGCCTAGAAATATTTAAGGGAATTCAAGAACTGTTGGATAGCTCAGTGGTTTAGATCTCTGGAGCCAGAGGTTGGGAGTTCAATTCCCCCACCGTGCCTCCTTCACGGGGGCGTCGCTTCAATCACCCATAGGGTCTCTTCCAGCTCCACCGTTCTAAGATGATGAGTGGTAAATTCTGAAGTGGAATTTTTTTTCCCGGTCCAAAGATCAGTTTCTTAGCCGCATTTATCATACAGAGGAATGGCCACACACGTTCACTCACTTGCTTTATTCAGTTAATTTACTGGTACGTTTTAATGCTTCTATTCTGTTCCATGCGTTCCCATTTTTAAAAAAAAGCACTCAAGGCAACTAGCAAATATCTTGAAAATTAAACTTTAAATTAACCAGAATTATCGTCACTGCCAGAGCAACCAAGAGACCAGATTAATGGGAGGAAAACTCAAAAGCAGTCGAGAAAGCCGGTTTGAAAAAGAGGTCTCTTTGGACGCGGCCCAAAAGCAGTGGGAACGAGCGCTGATTGGAAACTTGAAAGAGGGAGGAAAAAGCTGAAACATGATAGTTAGGGCAAAGAAACCAGAACAGTGAATTGCTTTTCAAAAGGAACAAAAGCCACACACAACTCATTGAATGTTCTTTCTGGGGGAGAAGGAGAGAGATTGAGAGAGAACATTTTTCATCCAGCTATGACAGATCTTGAACAATAGGACATGGCTGTTGCTGTTGTACTTAAGTCCTTCAGTACAATCCCCATGATTGATGGGAAAGCTGCCCTTGCTAGGAGAACACTCACAGTTCCTGGGAAACTTCATAGAAATACCGAGGAGAACAAGTGAACTAATTAAACCTCACGGCCCTGTTGGTACTGAAACCTTACAAGGACCGGCAGCCTTTGATCTTATTTGCTGTACTTTAATCATGTTCCGATGTAGCATCATACAAGCACAGGTAGAAGTCCTTTACCCCAATCAGAAGGTAATCAAACACTGTTGAGTCACCCTCAACCTTTCCTTGCACACATAGAATGTATTTCTTTTTAAAAAGGAGTGATGGATTGCATTTTATGGGCTTTTGGGTTTTCTAAGCTTGCCTCGGGGGTGCTGGCGAAGAACGCTACGGGTGTTACAGACATGAGCCAATGTTGCTGAAAACTCATGATTTCGGAATAAGGGCTTGGCAAGGGGTCATCCAGATCTATAAGAACCTAAAAACCAAAAACTGCGTGTACGTCCCTTGTGGCAGGATATTAATAGGCCACCCAGCTTGTGATAAGTCAGGAGACAATCCTCTGCAGGTTTATTGTTCAAGCGAACACCTCACTGCTCAGAGGAGAGCATTCCAGCCAGACATGGCCTTTTCTAGCATTCTCCGTTCCGTTTCTCTCTCTCACACGTACACACCAAAACTGGAGTAGATCAACTGAATAATGGCGATTTGTTGAGTCAACTCCTGCATACGCTCCGTGGATTCAAATGGGTCTACTTGAACTACAGCTTACTATGCTAAAGTAAAGCAGTTGGAGTAGGCCTCTTTGAATCTATGGAACGTACATAGGAGGTGACTCCAAAACTCCCCATTGATTCAACTGGCCTACTCTAATACAGCTGATTATAAGAAGCAACAGGATTTTGACCAGTTTCCCCATCCTCCGCAGCAATGACCACAGCATGACCTCTTAGCAAAGTCTATCTTCTTTGGGCTGCTTTAACAGTCCTCTCCCTTGTCACTAGCTTCTGTTCCTTGAAATTCTTTGCAGTTCAGCAAAGCTTGGCATTTCCCCCCTGTTCTCTCTGCCCCCCCGTTAATTATAGTAGTGCCTCGCAAGATGATTTTAATTCGTTCCGCCAAAATCGTCATCTTGTGAAAAAATCATCTTGCAAGGTTCCCTATGCATCGGTCTCAAAAAAAAAAGTCTTGCGAAGCATCGGTCTAAAAAAAAAAGTCTTGCGAAGCATCGGTCTTAAAGAAAAAGTCTTGCGAAGCACGGTCATAGAAAAAAAATCATCTTGCGACGCACCAGTGATCGCAAAAAACAATCGTCTTGCGGGTTTTTCATCCCACGAGGCAATCGTCTAGCGAGGCACCACTGTACCTTTCCACCAATGACCTCTCCTCCCAACGTGGCCTGTAAGGAAGATCAGGCTGAGAGAGGGTGACTGATTCAACACAAGCTCAGCACAGATTTGAGCCTGGATATTCAGATTCCCAGTCCAGCACTTTGAACCACTGTAACGAAGTGGGACATCTCTTCCCCTTGCACCAGGATGGGGTCATTTTAGCTATAAGGATCCGTACATAGGAGGTGACTCCAAAACTCCCCATTGATTCAACTGGCCTACTCTAATACAGCTGATTATAAGAAGCAACAGGATTTTGACCAGTTTCCCCATCCTCCGCAGCAATGACCACAGCATGACCTCTTAGCAAGGTCTATCTTCTTTGGGTTCCTTTAACAGTCCTTGTCATTAGCTTCTGTTCCTTGAAATTCTTTGCAGTTCAGCACAGCTTGGCATTTCCCCTCTGTTCTCTCTGCCCCCCCGTTAATTATAGTGGTGCCTCGCAAGACGATTTTAATTCGTTCCGCGAAAATCGTCATCTTGTGAAAAAGTCGTCTTGCAAGGTTCCCTATGCATCGGTCTCAAAAAAAAAAAAGTCTTGTGAAGCATCAGTCTAAAAAAAAAAGTCTTGTGAAGTACGGTCATAGAAAAAAATCGTCTTGCGAGGCACCATAGTGATCGCAATAACTAATCGTCTTGCGGGTTTTTCGTCCCACGAGGCAATCATCTAGCGAGGCACCACTGTACCTTTCCACCAATGACCTCTCCTCCCAACGTGGCCTGTAAGGAAGATCAGGCTGAGAGAGGGTGACTGATTCAACACAAGCTCAGCACAGATTTGAGCCTGGATATTCAGATTCCCAGTCCAGCACTTTGAACCACTGTAACGAAGTGGGACATCTCTTCCCCTTGCACCAGGATGGGGTCATTTTAGCTATAAGGATCCAGACCTGGAGAACAATCTGCCTCATAGGCAAAGAATGGGAACAAATGAAGAAATGGGAGTGGAGGTAGAAAGCTCATACCCTACATTTTGTTGCCTCACCCTCCAGATCGTATTGTCTCAAACCTTTGGAACGGTTCTCTTTCCTTTACTTGCGCTGCCTTTTCTGTTCAGCCGATGGTTCCACTGCTGACCAGACCCACTCTTCACCTGGGCAAACACCTCCATCTCTGAACAACATGCCTGTGAACAACTGTTGGAGATCCTAGCCAAGGGGTCCCCAAACTGTGCACCACAGCATCCATCCTAGGGTGTTGCCAAACCCATCCAGGGGTCCTGCAGGAACCTCAGGCCAAGCTTCTCCCCCAAAAGCATTGTATGGGGAAGCCGTGGCCACTAGGTTGAGGGTGCCACAAGTCAAAAAATGTGGGAATCACTGTCCTAGCCTTTCCAATTATGCGTTCTCAGCTTGTCCAGCTATCCCATAAAGCCCAGCTGTGCCTTCAGCAGCACCCAGCATCTTCCTCTACACATCTGGATTAGTGCTGCAGTTGGCTCAGAACCTTTCCTGCCCTGGCTTTGAGGCTGTCCATGCAAGCCGCTGTCGAATGCGATTTACGTCATAAGGGTACCAGCTGGTCAATTCCTGGGAGCCGCAGTGCACTGCAGGAGCAGCAAACGTTGGGTCCGATGCCAGATGTCTGGGCTGTCACTTCCCAGAAGCCCCAGCCAGCATGGCCAATTGTAAGGGGTTATGGGAGCTGCAGTCCAAAACATCTGGAATGCCAAAGGTCCCCCAGCCTGGTGTAACAACCTAATAAGGAAGAAATTATTCTGTAAGTGGGAGAGGAGAGACATTTTTTTAAAAAAAATTGATTTAGATGTTTAGCTAGAAGAAAACTGCATGCCTCTGCAAAAGAAATAAAAAATAATTTTATTTTATTAAAATGCATGAGATTAAAACACTGTCCGACACCATGAACCTCGACCATTCATGGAACAGTCCAAAGACCTCAATCTGTTTAAAGGTTACAGCAGCCAGGGTCCCGCTGCTCATGAAGGCACCCTGTCCAACCTCTGTCCTTGATCTCAGGTCAGCTGAAAAGCTCCTCATCCTTTACCAGCACTGGGAAGGTCTCACTCCCTTCGCACAGCAGTGTAGAAATGGCTCGATACAACGATGCTTCAGAACCTTCTGGAAGGCGCCCAGGTTCCAGAAGTGGGAGGAGTTCAGTTTCCATGGCCTGTGCACAAGCAAGACAACATCCAACATCAGGAATCTCGTTGTCCTTCCTCCCCATTTGACCATTTCAATGGAGCAGGGCTTGGTGGGAACCTATGGTTCTCCAGATGTTTGGGCCATCAGCCTCACTCAACAAGGTCAATGATAAAGGATTCTGTACGGGAGAGCAAAACATCTGGAGGGCCCGACATTCCCTACCAGTCCAGCAGAGGTTCGTTCAATACAGTGACTCAGGGTGATGAAGGAAGTTGGGGATACACTCAAGGTCCCATGATTGCCATATATCTGCTGCTAATGACTCGCTACTCTGCAGACTACAGAGCTGCTGTTTCTTGCAGCCCTTTCTGCAGCACCACACAAGTGGTTGCTGTTTCTTGCAGCCCTTTCTGCAGCACCAGCTGGGAAAGCCACAACACACCATGTCCCGAACATCTTGAAACGTCACGATGGGTGAAGGGGACAGATCGCTTACTGGAGTCAGTCCAGCATCAGAAGATTCAGTGTTCTCTGGTGATGAAACAAGACTAACACCTTTGTTCTTGAACCCCCTTCCCTGTAACTCACAATCAGCTGCAAGGCTACTGCCAGGACGGTTATGGGACTCTTAAGAGTTCTAATCTCCAGAAGGAAAAAGAGAAAGAAAAAGGGGGGGCACCCTATAACCAAATTACCTTCTGTATCTCCAGTTGTTGGTGTAACCTTGCAATGTTCAGTTTCAAGGCCTCCATCTCCTTCAGCTCTTTCAGGCTGGAGTAAACAAGCAGGGGGGGCGGCCCGACAGTTGTGGCATCCCAGCACCGTTGCTTTCCAAGGGAGGCGCAACACCCAGAGGAACATTTCTCACCACAAGCAGTGCCGGCAGGAAGCAGCTTGGAATGGGACTCCATGGCTTGGAAGAGAGAGAGAGAGAAATGCAGGATTAGCAAAGCACAGAGAAGCAGTTGTGTTTAGCTAAGAGGACAGGTGGGAACTCTTGACCACTGATCGCAAGGGTCTTCCCCACGAGAAGAGGGGGAAAAGGCCACGCTGGGGCTAATAACACTGGAATTGCTGAACGGTGGGATTTACATGAATGTCAGGATAAACATCTGGAAGCGAAGAGCCATTCAACAAGGGCACCCACAACCTAGGGGATGTGGGTGGTCCCTCTCTCGCTGGACTTCATCAAGAAGCGGCTGGCACGTTCTAGCTCTGCATTTGCAAGCCAAGCATTGCTAATTACTGAGACAAATGAACTGGATGCCACCATCTTCCTTTGCTTGGATGTTTCTTTAATATTTAGCTGGCTGGTATTGCAGGTTTGACCGTGTAAAAGAGGGGCAGGCAAGTACAACCACTAGATCAATCGGTCCCCACCTTGAATAACCCAGATGTTCTTGGACTAAAACTCCCAGAAGTATTCGCCACTAGGTTCTGCTGGCTGGGGTTTCTGGGAGTTGCAGTCCAAGAACATCTGGATTACCCAAGGTTGGGAACCACTACTCTAGATGTATTCAGACTGCAACCTGCGTGATTTATTCCTCACAATCAGCTATGCTGGATAGGGCTGATGAGAGTTCTAGCCGCAAAATGTCTGGAGGGTGACATCTGACCATCACTGATAGAAATGTCTGCTAACTTTATATTGATGTCACTTGTGTTTCATGCACCACCTACTTGGATAAAGAGCTTTGGAAAACTCAAAAGCTTATCTGTTTCTGTGGCACTTTGGGCACATCAAAATAAAGTACTGCCTTCAGTGGATTTTTGTTCTGTACCACTCTGTGTGCGCACTGACAGTGTTCAACTTCAGAAAGTACGCAACAGGCAGGATTCCCTCCTCACCCTGGAGATATCAGGGGTTAAACCTTGGCCTTCCACATGCAAAGCAGGTGTTCTATCTGGCCTCTCCCCAAATCAAGTCAGACGTTTTCAACGTTAAGCGCATGGCATGCTTGCTACATCCTTGCATGTTTTAACATTGTTATCAAATCATATTTCTTACCTTCTCTCAGTTGGTGCACTTTATCCAAACACTCTTTAATTATTGATTGCAGGCCTTCCACTGTCAAAAGACTTTCATATTGTCTCTCCCACGTTGGGTTTTCTCCCCGAGAAGCTAAAAGGAAAGCAAGTTTAAGGGATAGAGACCAGAGAGAACACCTTGGAGAAGAGAGATTCAACACCATGGCCGAAGTTCCTTCCCAACTCTGCCTTAAATATTTGAAAATAAATGTCCTGCCTTTTGGCCACAGGTTGCCAAAGCCAAGGATGGGCAGAATGTGGAACAGAATCATATGCCAGGTCTCTGGGTGACATTCATGATATGCCTGATGGCCTTCAACTCTCAATTGTCTGAATTTAACTCTTAGAACCTTGATATATAATAACTCCTACTGTGAGATATTGGTGTACACGATCATTACTGTGAACATTATATTCTAAAGGGAGAAGGAAATTTTGCAGATGGGAGATAAGACTAGCAGTTGAGTGAATTGGGGAGAAGCTGGGAAGAAACTGTCACTGTGGAGGGCAGCCAGAGAGCTGGCTGGATGTTCTGGAAACAAGAGAACAACTTACATATAATAGTACAGTTGGACTCCCATATCTGCAGGATCAGTATCTGCGGTTTCAGGACTCCCATATCTGTAGGATCAGTATCTGCGGTTTCACTTATCCGCAGTCTGAAAATATTAAAAATATTTTTTTAAAAATAGAAGTACATATTTTCATGATGTATATACCAGAACTGGCCACTAGAGTGGGCCAGAATACATAGCATGGTCTCTGGTTCCCACTTAGTAGCCGTTTCTGGTAATACAAGGTATTCTTACCTGAAATCTCGGAGTCCATGCCTTCTCGTACAACAGAGCAGACCTCACGTATGCGCGCCAACTCCTCTCTCACCTCTGCTGGGCTGAAAGCTAGTGAAGGTGAGAGGAACTTACCAGACGCTTAAGGAAAGAAGGCGCCGTGAGATGGAGTTTTCCCTTGAAGGGACAAGCGAGCAACACTTTCAGTTTTGCCATTCTGTTGGGCTTGCTTCGGTCAAACCTGTTTGAACCCAGTTGGAGCGCTCCAAAAAGAGCAAAACAGAATGATATGGAAGAGTTACACTCAAAGAGACAGTGTGGGGTAGTGGATAGAGTAATGGACGGAGATGCGGGTGACCTGGGTTCAGTTCTCCACTCTGCTACTGAAATTCAGCGGGGGCTATCGCTGGTACTCCTTAAATACCTCATATACTTTGAAAAACCTATTACAGTACGACCCCCATTATCTGCCCCCTTGTAGATGCTGAAAAAGTGGAACAATATTTGAATAGGAAACTCTATAGATAGCATGGTCTCTGTCTGTCTGTCTGTCTGTCTGTCTCTCTCTCTCTAAATTTTGATTTTTTTCTTTTAATATTTTTCAGACTGTGGATAAATGAAACAGCGGATACTGAATTCACAGATAAGGAGGTCCTACTGTATACTTTGAAAACCTATGTGCCATCCAGTCAGATGTGACTGGATGGTCCATAACAAATAAAAACAACTGTGACGGAGCCCTCAACAGTTTTTACCGCGCAACCACACAAATAAGGTGATGCGCTGGAAGAAGGCGGGAGGTGAGCCGATCCAAAGGAGCCTGCAGGGCGGAAAGGGAAGTGAGAGCCGAACAGGAGAGAGTTTGATTATATCCCAAGAAGGAAGGTTGGGTTTTAGAGTGGGCTGTCAATGGAGTGTTCAATTGCATCTTGATGAGGGAGGTCCTGTTTTTAAGAGTGGGCTGGAGCTTGAGAGAATCACTTTGTATCTGAGGAGGGAGGTTGCCTGTTTGAAAGCAAACATGCAACGCAGTGCAACCCTTAAACTGTTCAGTTTCACCAGCTGTTGTGTTGTACTACAGAGGATTTGTTTTATGTTTCAGTCTTAAAAACCCCTTGGGCTGAATTATATAGATAGCATGGTGTAACCCTTAAACTGTTCAGTTTCGCCAGCTGTTGAGGATTTCTTTTACGTTTCAGTCTTAAAAACCCCTTGGGCTGAAAGCAAGCCTAATAAAAAAACAGGGCGTTTTTAAATGGGACTAGTTTGGATCAAGGTAGTGACAATTATTTCTCTGGATTTCATGATCTTTGTCAAGCGTCCTTCCGAGTCGCTGGGAGGAGGAGCTGGTTCCGTTTGCCGACGTTGACACTTTAAACTGTTGTCCTCTGTTGTGCAAGCCATGAGCACGTCAGGAGGGCCGTGTGGCGCCCAGTCTCTCCCTGTGCCTCCCACGTAGTGGTCTAAATCCCTGATATTTCCAAATTTGTTTCCCTGCCCCTTCAGCTTTGCTGATCCAATCTAATATGCAATTCTTTCTCACTCCTAGAAGGAAAAGAAAATGTAACTCAGCTCTGCCTTGGATGCAAACTTCAATGTGGTGAGAGAATCCGAGTATAATAGGGAAGCCAAGAGCAATGTTGTTGTTTAGTTGTTAAGTCATGTCCGACTCTTTGTGACCCCATGGACCAGAGCACGCCAGCCCCTCCTGTCTTCCACTGCCTCCCGGAGTTGGGTCAAATTCATGTTGGTCGCTTCGATGACACTGTCCAACCACCTCATCCTCTGTCATCCCCTTCTCCTCTTGCCTTCACATTTTCCCAACATCAAGGTCTTTTGTAAGGAGTCTTCTCTTCTCATGAGATGGCCAAAGTATTGGAGCCTCAGCTTCAGGATTTGAGCACTCAGGGTTGATTTCCTTCAGAACAGATGGGTTTGTTCTCTTTGCAGTCCATGGGACTCTCAAGAGTTTTTAGGGGGCTGAATTCAAATGGAAGACACCAAGCCAAGATGCCTCTGTTTGCTTCAAGAATTAGCAGTCACATTAGTTGAATAGAGTTGATAGCTCCAGTGTCGATGGGGCTGCGAATTCCTGAAATACAGCTGCTGGGTGGCAGCAGTATCAGAAGGTGGCACTAGCAGAGGATCCTTCATAGACCACAACCGACCCACTCAGAAGGGGACAATGGTAAGCCACTTCCAAATATTTTGTACTGCAAAAATCTATGACGAGACAATCCAGAATGAAAGAAGAGATAGTGCTGGAATACGAGGCTCCCACATTAGAAGGCACTCAGCTGGGGAAGAAAAAAGGACAAGTACAAATAGGGCTGGTGGTCATGAAGCAAGGGGATTAAAGCCAAAATGATATCTAGTTGCTGATGTGCACAGAGACAAAGGGAGGTTCAGTAGAACACAATGTGTACAATAGAAACATCAATTGTGAGAAACATGACTCAAAGAAAGCTTGAAGTTGTAAGATAAGAAATTAAATATTTGAACATTGTAATACTTGGCATGAGTGAAGTGAAGTGAGCTGGGATAGGACATTTTCAACCAGGTAATTTCAAAGCATGTTACTCTGGGAATGGCAGATTCAGAAGCAACAGTGTGCCTCTAATAGATAAGCAAGACACAGCACAGGTAGTTGAGGCTACAATACAAAGTGTGACCAAATAACATCTGTCAAACTACTTGGAACAACTATCAACATAACCGTGATTTAAGTCTGTACTCCAACTACAGATGTTGAAGAAGCAGAAGAAAGAAAAAGCTTTTATCCAGGAGTCCAGGAGATTTATCACACAGTAAAACAGGATGTGCTGATGAAGGTAGGCAGCTGGCACGCAAAATACCAATATAATAGCTGTGATTGCGTTCAATGAGGAACAAAAAGTACAGCATGTACTGTTCCGAGAGTCATAAAGGAAAGCCTTGATGAATGACTGATTGAACCCTTACGATTGTTAAAACCAGATGGGAAGCAAAAGTAAAATGGACAGAAACAGAGTCACAATCCTAACTTTCAGCAACCTGCACACAGGGCAAAAAGGAGTATAAAAATACTGATTGCAAAGAAATAGGAGAACACACACACACACACACACACACACACACAAGGGAGGGAGACATATCTCCTATACAATCCAAGAAATTAAAGAAAAAGTTAAACCAAGATTAGTGGTCAACAAATATATTATCTGATCAGGATGAAATAAAGAGAAGATGGAAAAAATATATTGTGCACAAGAATCGGAAGAGATGAAAGATGACCAATCCCTTTGAAGAAGAATCCTGTGATTAAACAGTTGCAGTTTCAGGAAGCTAAGTGAAGGTGGCGTTCAGCCATCCCTGTTGGAGGAATGGAGGAGGGAGCGTCGGTTGACCCAGCGAGGCTGACAGAAAGCCACTCTCAAGGGAACTGGAGGGAAAAAAGTACCAGGAATAGTTAGGATACGGGTAGAACTGTTTCAAGCTCCAGGACAGATTCTATCAACACCAAAACCAGAATACGCCAACAAATATGGAAAGCAAACAATGATCAGACTGGATATTTAAGGAGTGATTTTACCATTGCCATGCTCCAATGAGTTTCCGTGACCAAGCAGGAATTCGAACCCAGATCTCCCAAGTCCTAATCACTTTATCCACTTTGCTACACCGGGCCTCAGAAAATCAGCAGGGGAAATACAATGCTATGGCAAGTGCAACGGGATTGCAGTGTCAGCATCTCTCCTAATCTCTCATTCACTAGGCCCACCAATGTCACCACTGGTTTGCTTCCTGTCAGGGATGATTCAATGCATTTCCATCCTTATTCTACACAAAGCAACCAAATGTATTCCCAATAACGCTACAGTCACTTTAAAAAGTATTATCTTTGCTTTTTGCCATTACCACAACAGAAATGGTACACCCAGCATTGTTATAACTCTCCGTTACTAGTGTTGTTTGTTTGTGGTTTGCTTTCAACACAACATCCATTGTTACTCCTTTGGGGAAAAAAAACCCATGATAAATAGGAAAACAGAATGCCTATAAGCATACAAATATTCTCATAGGGGCAGTGAGATTTTTGTTTCACTTATGATGTGATCCAGCTTCATTTGACACAGTGACCAGTGGAACATAATAAAGCAAAAGTTCATAATTGTTAATATCATAGATTAATTTTAAAAATGTTTTTTGGGGGGCTATTGCTGTCTTCCCCTAAATAGTTTGCAAGAAAAGTATTGTCATAAGGACTTAACTTCCTTAACCCAGAAATGTGTAAGTGCCCTCATTGCAGCAGCATCTGAATTAAATTGCTATGTTTCTGGATGGGTGAGAGCGGACTGAAAATGCACCCCCATTCCAGAAAAGAAAGGGAGGATAAATTACTTAGTCCTCTATGGGAATTCAGGAGAGAGAAATGGTGGATAAAAATATAGACTTTACAAGCCTAATTAGATGTAGCAGTTTCGATAATCTGAATTAAGGAATGTGTTTCCACTGTTATATGCGACATACGCAAGATAACATCAGACAAGGAGACAAGAAGTCAAGGTGCTGGCTGCTGGAATATTAATGATTATTGTTCTTTCTTGTTATTATGTATTCCCTGTTATATGCAATATTATATATGCAGTGTTTGAAAGACTGGACATTTTGCACTGACTTTTTAAAAACATCACCGTTCCCAAAACAAGAGCAAATCGGGATCCTTCCGCATGCTCTTTTCAACCTCTCCAAAATATCTCTTGAGCCATAAACTGCAATCCCAAGACGGAAAGAGGGCTTTCCCGAAACCTGAGCGCTTATCAAGTCACATTCACAGGTGTGATCCTTAGGCTTCTGTGGTCAAAACCACCCAAAAGGATACGGTTGCTTGCAGCTTCTCCATAAAGTGGCCCTTTGCAGCCGCCGCCGTGGGGCTTGTTTGGCAAACGCCGCACTTCTCCAAGAGCCTAAGCATTTGCAGCAAGAAACAGGCAGGATCATTGATTGGGTAGAGGGGGAAAAACAATCAATCAGCCGATAATCAGCAAATTATCTTGTAAAGCCGGATCCAGGATGCTTTTGCCTGTTCCTGTTACTCAGGGCAGTTTCAGCATCCCAAACAACCAAGCACGAGATTTAAGATGGTTGTTGTGGGTTTTTCGGGCTCTTTGGCCATGTTCTGCAGGTTGTTCTTCCTAACGTTTCGCCAGTCTCTGTGGCCGGCATCTTCAGAGGACAGCACTCTGTGCTTTGGTGTAATTTGCTTGGGAGTAGAGTATTTATGGCTGTGAGATCAGCTTTTGTCCTTTTCAGGAGATGGGTGATTAGTGTGTCTTGTTGTGGGTGTACTGTTGTGCTAAGGGGAAGAGATTATCTGTTCCTGAGGTTGATGGGTATCATTAGCTGGTCTTTTTTGTGTAGTGATCAGAATGCACAAGGAAGCCATTGAAATCCACAAGCACAGTTTCAACAAAAAAGAAGAAAGTATGAAGCTCAACAAAACTTGGCTCCCAGCTATCAAACATACTACGTGCAAAAGGTCAACGAACTCTACCCACCCACAAGGACAGGGGATCACTACACAGGACAGAAAGGGACTTTTAAACTAAGACCATTTGGGGGAGGGGATTCATGAATACTGGGGCGGGGGGGGCTAGGCAACCTGCATGGCAAGGATTAAACAGTCTCCCGTGCAAAATCTGGGAGCACTCGCTACATCCATAGACTCAGTGTTTAATTAAACTCGCTGAAAATAAGCTTCAGGTCCTCACTATTTGTAGGGGAACATCTTTGGTTAAATCTAGAGACCAAAAAAGGAGACACTTCCCAAAAAATGTAAGTTTTTAACCATAGTTCAATGGAGCAACAGATTGTATTTTATTTAGCATGGCACTCTTTCGCTTCTTCACATTCCGGTTCTTCCAGGCATGCAAAACCCAAGGTTTCTATAATGCCCCGAGTAGTTTCCGCTTTTCAAGCAGCAAGCATGCGAAAATGTTCGGTTCCTAACGCAGAACTGCACAAACACATTTGATTTGTGTGTTAATTTTACTTTGAAACTTGAAAGCCACGTGTAGCTTTAACAGCGGAGCATAAATATGCCAGCGGAACCCACAGCTCGATACGACTTTTGATTGGTGCCATTCATTTTAGTTTCCTTTACAGGCGTCAATGTTTTGAAACAGAAAATATGTCAGAGGCAGATGAGCAGACTGATTGCGTATCGTTCTCTTTTTCATACTTTCGCTCCATTAACTGCAGCTCTGGAGGCATTCAGCCCATTCAACATCCATTAAGAAGCTGCACAAAAGTGTGTCACATGGTACCTAAAAGAGGCAGCTACCTATAGCTTCGGATCATGTCTTACCACTCAGAGCTTAACTGCATAGTTACAGACAACTGCCTGTCGACACGAGTTGCTGCTATGGCACATAAGTGGCTTTTAAGACGCGGCTGTAAATGGCAGCCCTCGTGGTCACCTCTGATCCCAGAAACACAGCTGGGAAAAGCTGCTTTTTAAAAACCGTTTGTACTACAACTTCCTGTATCTTCCAACCAATTCTAGAAGCCAGACAATACAGGCTGTTAGCTTACACATGGGCTAGGAAACTGCACTACAAAACCCTCGATACTCACTTTGCAAAGCAGGGTTCATCCCCACGATAAAGGCTTTGAGAGTCAACCCCCTGTGCAAGGGAAATCAAGTTTGCAAGGAAAATCAAGTCTTGGACTGGGTCGCTTGAATGGACCTTACCTGGTATACCTGGTAAAAGCTTTCCGATAAGGAAGTGGCAGCTCCAGTAAAGACCTATGAAGAATTAGTTTGGGTCACTATACTTGGCAGGCACAAGAACTACACCTCTACAGAAACAAGATAAAAAATAGGCTCTTTATCTTTTTTTTTTTTTTTTAAAGAAAGCAAATTACCTGAAAGCTGGAAGCCCTTCCGTAACTCAGCTATGAATATCACACGATGCACCATTCTGACCCGGTGCTCTCAAATAATTTTGTTTGCTCCCATCCAGCAAGTCAGATTTGTTCAAGTCTATTAGTTGGGGCCCACTGCTTTGAATAATAGCACAGAACTTTAAATAAAAAGAGGCCAATGTTTGAGTGGAAGCCCACATTCAGCCTATAACGTTTTGATTTTACACTTGCCCCACTGGTCATCGGCTGCTTTCAATCTCAATTTAAAGTGCAGGTCTTGATCCTGAAAGCCCTATGAGTAGACAGACAACTTTGCTTCTATTGTCCCAAGCGGATGGAGTGTTATCAGGTCATTGTGGATTGAGACACACAGAAGCGGTAGGCCAAAATGTCTGGGAACACCTGGTTTCCTACGCAACCTGGTTGCTTTATGGACCATCTGTTCCTACATCAACAGCCAGGTGTTAAGACCAGTCTCAGAGGCCCCTCATAAGCCATTATTACTGCAAGCATAAAATACTTGGTAGTGATGCTAGAGATTTGGAATATGTTCCAAAGGAAAAAAAGTGTCCATCATCCTCTTTATTAGCAGGTTTTAAACATCTGGCTCCATGTTAAATTATTTTGATAACTCTTGCTTTTACTGCCTGATTGTGTGCTTTTTAACATTTTACACTCTATTTGTTTTCTGTTACAATTCTCTAACTACAAGAGGCTGAAAAGGAGAATAAAACTAACAACACACTTCTTTTCTGCTCATTATTAACATCACTATTATTAATGTTAGTAGTAATTTTACCACCACCATCTTTATCAGTATTATTGTTACAGACGCTCCAGATCAAGGGCAAGATGATCAAAATTTAGCATCTCTAGGATAACTCTAAAATCAAAAGACTGAGGGCAAAGGGTGGGTTTCAAGAAAAGCTATATAGCGAAATTGAAACCCATCATTTATTCTAACTCTGAATTGCACTATTTTCCACAAGAAAACCCAAGACATCTTATGGGAGTGCATAGGATCTTGACCATAAGCACCCAGTTTCCAAATGTTGTACGTATCACAACGGAGGAAAATGCAGAACCAGTTTGTGTTGAGAAACTGTCTACAGTGGTGGCTCGTTTGATGATGCTAATTCGTTCCAGCGAAATCTACAAGAAGGTCTTAACATTATTTCAGTCACACTCTCTTCTCATAGTGAGGCATAGGAGTAAAAAGATACAGTGCTGCCTCGCTTAACGAGCGCACCGTATAACGATGAAATCGCATAGCGATCCATTTTTTCGGATCGCTAATGCGATCGCTCAATGTTTTTCCAATAGGGGAAAATTCGCTTTGTGAAGACCGGTAAGCGTTTCGCTTACCGATCTTCGCAAAACGAACCCCGACAATCAGCTGTTCGGCGGCCAAAATGTTTGCTGATCATCGTAAAGAGAAAATCAGTTCCCGAAGCAGGGAACCAATCATCACTAAGCAAAATTCCCCCATTTAAAACATCGTTTTGCGATCGTAAAAACGTCAACCTAATGCGGATTCGTCGTAGAGCGGGGTAATCGTCCAGCGGGGCACGACTGTACTCTTACTGGCCTCTACACAAGTCTCTGTCAAGGACAAAGTAAGCAGCAGACGCTGCTGCAGAAGCAGGAGGTCTGGACAGCTGAAGGGTCTCAGCTTTTAAAGGGAACTTACCCCTTTTCCCCAAGAGTGAACGTTTTGGGCGTTGGACCCGTTGTCCCCAAGGTGCTTCCTCCCGCAGGACTCTGCGGAGCTCCAGATTCCACGGGAGCGCTGGAACAATCACGCTGTGCTTTGGCCAAGGGCGAATCAGCCCCGGCGAAGTCTCCCCCTCCCATGGAGTCCACAGATGAAGGGCCTGGGTTTGCAGAACATGAACCCAGTTGCTTTCCAGGCTGTGCTGTAACACAGGTGTTTTCACAAGGTCCTTGGCGTGTCTTCCCACGCAGTTTGGCTTTAGGAGAGACAGCCCCTTTAGGAGGCCTTCTCCTCCCTGGCACCTTTGAAATCCTGGAGCTCAGGGCCGCTGACATTTTGGCCTGGGGCCTTTTCACAACTGGGTCGGTTCTGTAGGGAGCTTTCAGCATGTACGCTGTTGGCTTTTTGGAAGACCCAGGCTTCTGGCTCACAGAGGAGACTTGAGCAGCTTTAGAGGTGCTCTCCTTAGAAGGATCTGCTTGTTGTTTTAAAGAAGTAATGGCAACTGGGTCCCTTTTGGCAACTTGTGTGGCTTCTTTACGCCCAGGCGGAGGCTGCTGGAATTTTGTTCGGACCCTCAAGGCTTTTTCTAAGGCTTTGTTAAGCAGCTCCAGTTCCTCACAGTCCTTGGCTGAAGTCTCACTTTCTACAAAGACAGGAGATAAGCAGAAAATGTCATTAGTACCAATGTAAGATCAGAGCTTGGGAGAGTCTGTTTTTTGAGCTACAACTCCCAGGGGCTGTGTTGTCTGGGGGATTTTGTAGTTGAAAAAACAACTTTTCCAAGTTCCAATATTGCACTCTTCCCCTAAACTGCACAACAGATAAAAACATATCACCATTTACAGACTATGATTTTTATGTACCAGGCATTAACAACTGGGGCAGTTTAATCAGGTTTTGGTGTATCATGCTTCGATATATACATATATAGAGGAGAAAATATTTTCCTAGTGAACATCCTCATCCAGTAATTGTGTTAAACTTCATTTACCTATTTCTATCATGTTAAAAAGGGAGATATGTAAGATATCTGACAATACTATGGAAGAACCAGCCCCCAGTTTGTTCATAAAAATGTAAAACGTTTCCCACACTCCACGTACCAAAATGCAGAATTCTGTGCCAGCCCTAGAAGTAAGCTCAGAGCTCATTCATCGGTCGGTGTCGCCTTGCAAAGCTCCACCAGCGCAGTGGCAATGATGTTGTCACCAGGAGGAAATCAACATGAATTAAAGAGTTTCCTTTTTGCTTTGCAAAGTCCAAGCACCTTTAAATTTAAAAAGGAACTCTTTAATCAGAGGCAATCTGCCGGTGATGTCATTCCCGCTCTGCTGGTGGAGTTCCATGGGAAAATACTGACCATGGCCACTGTTTAGGGCTGTGGGTGAAAAGTTGGAAACATATTGAGAGTGTCCGATTCTTAAAAAACTGTTCTTTAAACACTTTTCAAGGGCAAGATTTTCAATGCTTGTATGCATTTAAATCTTTCTTATCGACAGTCAGTGGGAGGACTGGAGTTTCCTTGCTTATGACTGAAGAGGATTTCCATAACGCAACGGCCACCCAAATCTGGATTGCTCTTCCATGACTTCTACCTGCAGCCCAGCTGCCTGTAAAAGCAAAAGAGGCAGAAAGTCCAGGCAAAATCTCTCAAAAAGTGGAATCAAGGGCAACCACATGGAGAGAAACAGGCTTTTCTAGAGGCACAACTAAGACAGAAGGAATGAGTTAACTTACAGCCCTTCGCCAGCTGCCTGAGACAAAGAAAATGGCTTCAAGTTGGGTGGCTGTGTTTCTAGAAACCCCTGGGAGGTATAAGGGGTCATGTTGAGCCATTTAAGGGTTGAACTTGTGTTAGGCTAGAAGGCTGCTTTTCCCCCCCAAACTGGAAGCTAGGCTTTGGTCGGGGATGTGTGTAGAAGATTTTTAAGCCATCACTACCACTCATAATTAAGAGGGCAAGGGGCTTACAAAACAGCTTTAAGCTGTATGTAGTTCACACTGCATTACCCACCCTTGCAATAAAGGCGTCAATGGCGTTCAAAGAAAAATCAACTGCCGTGCCTACATGCAAATGCAAACCCTTTCAGAAGATCCTCCTCTGGAGTTAGGATTCAGACAGAGACACATTTAAACCCAGAGCTGATTCATACTTTTTTTGCAGCAGCCAGCCTGCACCTGCTTTCCAAGCTTCCTTGGTGCAGTAAACAAGATGCATGTCCTTGAGCATGCGTGAGGGAGCCATTATCCACTGCAACGCTCCTGCACGTACTCTCCAAGTACTGGAAGACACACATCATCCCTTCACCAATTCAGTGCAGGAAAACTCATGTGCACGTTAGTGTATCCCCAGCTGTGAAGTGGCTCAGACTCCAGAAACTTCAATGTAAACAGAAAATACACCCTCTTGGAAAGGCAAAATAAGAACGTAGCTCAGTTACCTGGCTTAGCAGTTTTGTTCTCTTCAGCGTTTAGATTTTCAGGAGCTTCCGAGTTCCTAGCAGAAAGAATGGAAAGAGTATGTACAAGTAGCAGGGACACACAGTAATTCCTCCTCAGAGACAGAAAAGCTGCTTTTTTGTACGACTCCCTGGCTAAAACTGTATTCTGCAGTTAGGAAAATGGTATAACTTTTAGTGGTGAACTGCCATAAGTTAAGACATCTTTGTAGGCATTACCTGTTGCATATCAAGTTGTGTGACTCAGTATATGGCCCATATATGCCTATGGTGATTTCTTTAGTTATTATCATTTGCCACTAAAAGTTGTCCTTTTTAAGCAACGGTGAAACAGGCTTTCAGCCCCTGAATCCCCCAGTCAGCATGGGCACCATCATGAGAATTTCAAGGTGCTCATGATGGCTTCCTTTATACGCTGCAGAAAACTACTGAATTCAAAGATTTTAACTACAGTATCTGGTTCTGATCTCAGTCCTTCTATGTGATGAGAGAGAGGAAGAGATGGGGAAAAGAAAAAATTGATTCACGTCATTTGCCTCCTTCCCATTCAAGGAGAAAATTCTCTCAAACTTGAGGACTAAGGCTCGGACACACCCCACTTTTCCAACTTACCAATTTCTAAGAAGGGCCTGGCACCGCATTAGATTCTGCTGCAATTTCTGCTTTTGCTCTGTGCAGTCTTCCAAGGCCTGGGTAAGCCGAGCAGCCAGCCTAAAAATGGCACAACAAAAACATGGTTTCTTCATTCACCCCCAGAGCCAACCATTAGCGAATGTCTGCCTTCAAAGCCAACTGGGAGAGCTAAAGAGAAAGCTATCAAAATGCATGCAGAATCATACCCTAAAGAAGGTTCCTAGACATTTGATAGTAAAAAAAAAAAAGTCCAAATGAGTTTTTCTTTCCTGCAGGAAGATTGTCCTTCCTGACAGTCTGCTTTCTTCCTCCTGATATAAAGATGGTGCAGAGGGAAGACCAACACAAATGCTAAAGTTTAGTATGAAGCATTAACTAAAATTATTTTGGTTGCGCCAGCACGTCCCACTGTGACCCTTGGCATCCTTTCCAACTCTGCAATTTTGTTATCACAGTTTTATACACACGAGCTCATGCTTAATCTTCAAAGCACCAAGACACTTTACATTGTACAAATAAATACATACCCAAAAAATGAATATTAACAATTTTTTAAAAAAGAATTTGTTTTTAGTATATGTGTTTGAGAAAGGGAATGCCCTTTGAGATGTATCACTGTATTTTTGGAGAGAAATGAGGCATTATACCGTAAAAATATAATGTAAAATAAAAATGAATTCTGAGGGTGGTTAGGAGCATGCCCTTTGAGATGTATCACTGTATTTTTGGAGAGAAATGAGGCATTATACCGTAAAAATATAATGTAAAATAAAAATGAATTCTGAGGGTGGTTAGGAGCACAGAGTCGATAACTGTGGGTTTTTTAAAAATTCTTTTAAAGTTGATGTGTTAGTAGTGTTTTGTCTATTTGTTATTTTACTGAAAATTAATTAAAAATAAACACAAACTTGATAAATTTCATGGAGAAATCCTTTTGAAGTAATTTCTTCCTGGGGGGGAGGAGGTCAGATGGAGGAAGGGTGCCGAAATGCTCTTTTTAAAAGTTCCTAATAGTTACAAAGCAATCCACCCACACCCACTAAAACTGGGGAAGAGAAAAGAATTCTCAAGGCTGCTTGCAAAGGGGCTGTAAGCCAGGGAACAGAGAGCAATGCAGTGGCCCAGATGTTTATTGAACTACAACTCCCATGAAGCCTTGATGTTTCCTAGGGCTGTTGGAGGGGAGCTTTATAGATCCTGGAAGCCACCAGAAAGATCACTAAGTGGGTCCGAGACCCAACCCAACCTTGGGAAGCTAAACTGAGGCTATTATATTTTTCACACACTGCAAGACAAGACTCACCGGAGAAGTCGGGGGATAGGAAAGGGGAAGGGAGCAGGAGAAGAGGAGCCCTGCAGGGGAGAGGGATTGACTCACCGAAAGAAACCACTGCAAGACAGTCAAGGACAGCGAAGCTTGGGGTTGAGAGGGTGACCATAAGTCGGAGGAGAGGCTTCAGGACACATAACCACCCCCACCCCCTTGCACCCCCATATCCTGCCTAGCCAATGTCTTGACTGCCTCGGGGCCCCTCCTGGGAGACTGTCCCACACCGGAGCTGGAACCACCCCCACCTCCTTGCCCCCCCATATCCTGCCTAGCCAATGTCTTGACTGCCTCGGGGCCCCTCCTGGGAGACTGTCCCACACCGGAGCTGGAACCACCCCCACCTCCTTGCCCCCCCATATCCTGCCTAGCCAATGTCTTGACTGCCTCGGGGCCCCTCCTGGGAGACTGTCCCACACCGGAGCTGGAACCACCCCCACCTCCTTGCCCCCCCATATCCTGCCTAGCCAATGTCTTGACTGCCTCGGGGCCCCTCCTGGGAGACTGTCCCACACCGGAGCTGGAACCACCCCCACCTCCTTGCCCCCCCATATCCTGCCTGGGCAACGTCTTGACTGCCTCGGGGCCAGTCCTGGGAGACTGTGCCATACCGGAGCTGGAACCACCCCCACCCACTTGCGGCGCCCATATCCTGCCCGGCCAGTGTCTTGACTGCCCCGGGGCCGCTCCTGGGAGACTGTGCCACACCGGAGCTGGACCCCCCCCCACTCCACCCCACCCCGACCCCGGCTCCCGCTGAGAAAGGGTCACCTGGGAGCGCAGCCGGCCGGCAGCATCAGGGCGAGCGGGCAGGGAGGCCAGAAGCGAAGCCCAAGCCCAAGGAAGGGCTCCCACCAAGCGTTTCCGCTCGGGCTCCGGTTCGAATCCCGCGCCTCCCGCAAAAGGCGCACGCGGGGGGGGGAAGAGGGAAGAGAGGAGAGGTTCCCCACCATAGAGGCGCCCAGGGGCAGAGCGTCTCAGCGCGCGGAGGCCGAAGCAGGCCCCTCCCTCTGGTTTCCCCGCCGGCCCTCGATGGGTGCCGGCCGCCTTTCTCTCGCGCGCACGCGCTCTCTCTGCCTCCCTCCCTCCCCCTCACTCGTGTTCTAACGTTTGGCGAGGCCGCGCTCACCGGTCCTGTCAGGGAGGAAGTGAAACCGGCCTCGCCGCTGCCCCAGGCCGAGCCGTTCTCTAACCTGACATCGGCCATTCTGCGTTTCATTTTCCCGACGGTTTTTTTCTCTCTTTTTTTAGCCCTTTCCCTATCGTCTCCCCCGCGGTCCCTATCCAGTATTGTTATGAGGGAAAGGGTTTTTATGGTCCTGCCATGACCTGCCCCGGCGAAGCCCTTGCTAGGCAACGGTTGCTATACGGAAGACGCGATGAAGCTGAAGTTAGCTTCTTATTCGGCCAGCTTCTTACTCACTTCTTATTCGCGTCCCAGCTTCTTACTGAGAACATGTTGTATTTAAACTATTAAACCAAGTTGGATCACTCAAATATCAGGGTATTAATAATAAATGATATCTCTAACACAAATTATAATAGTATTTTGCGTGGCCCAACGCTGTTTTGGGCACAGAATAGGCTGGCAAAGTGGGCAGCCTATTCCGTGCCCCAAACAGCGTTGGGCCAGGCAAAATGCAATTGGGTCATATGTAAGTGACCCCCCTCTGCTGGTTTCTGGTGTGAAATCTGTGGCCCAAGGCTCATTAACCCTTGCAGAACTCCAGGTTCTTATTCAAAATGGTAAAATATGCAGCGGTGCCATAATCAAAAGTGTCTGTGTATGGACAAGAAACAGGAGAAACTGAAGGTTGAGTCAGAGATTGAGTAAGAAAACAGTCTGGAAAATTTGCTTCTGTGAAACCTCACTTGGAGGCACTCTGTATAATCTGCTTTGCAAACTAACCTAAGGCTAGCTGACAATATCCCAGTAAAGGGTTAATATCAGAATGAAATCAGACAATCATTGGCAGGCATTTCCAAGATTCATCCAGGTATCTGGCTATGAGTATTTTCTTCATTGTAATAATTCCCGGCAACTCCTAAAGCTTGTTTTTTCTTCCAAGCTTTATTTCTACGTAGCTTCAAGATTCCATGAGCATAACATGAAATCCAAAAGTATTTTAAAAGCATGTCACTTTTGAGAAGTCACAGGCAAAACTAAAAATTACAATAACATCAGATGTTGGTATTTACAATTTTGATGCCTCTGTGTATGGATTGGAGTGCAAAATTTAATAGGTGGTTGCCAAAAATTTTATATTTTCAGTTATCTTGTTTTGCTGATGCTGATTGTCATAAATGTGTTTTCATATCACAAGTCTAAAGGTACTACTCTATACATTTAGGACAGTTTTAGGGCATTTTTTCTATCTCTCCCCCCCAATAAATGTTTTAATTGTCAAACAGACAAGGTATCAAATTCTGACACCACAACTCGCAGAATCCACCATTCAATACTTTACTTCCAAAAGTTGGTTTCAAACATAGGTCAAAACCCTCTTAGATAACTTATACTTCCCATGGGGGAATGAAGTCATCAGCAGTGGCAGATTTCCACTTAATAAAAAGGCCCCCACTTTGATTCTTCATTGTTTCGATTTCATCTTACTAGTTGAAATCCAGTGGTAAGTTACAACAACAGTAGGCTCATGGAATCACTGGAATAATTGAAGCGCAATCAGCAGCAATGTACAGATTCAACTCTGTTTTGGAAATACATGATGTTTTGTAGTATTTGAGTGTATCTCTATTACGTTGCATCAAGTCAAATCCTGTTTATGAAATCCTAATGGGGTTTTCAGTAATTGATTTACTATTCAGTAATTGATTTAGTATTGCTACTTCTCTATTAAGTTTCTATGGCTAAGCAGAGATTTGAAACCAAATCTTCTCGTTCTAGTCCAGCACTCTACCCACTGCGGTATACTGGCTCTACGTATACCTCTAGCGACTTCCTAACGAAGGAAGCCAAACTCAAGTAAGGACTGCAGCCTTTTAGGTTTCCAGAGCTCAGACGATAACATGAGGTGCATACTTCAATGAATGCAAAGCCACATGATGTAGCAATTGCTACCAGCTGGGAAGCCTTCCAAAGGGAACTATTTTTGTTTATTTTATTTATTTATTGTATTTATACATGAATGCAAAGCCACATGATGTAGCAATTGCTACCAGCTTGGAAGCCTTCAAAAGGGAACTGTGCAAGGAAGATAAGGAACCGATGGCTACTGATCATGAGAGCAGCTTACTCCCTGCAGTATCAGAAGGAAGATATTTACACTATGCAAGGAAGATAAGGAACCCATGGCTACCGATCATGAGAGCAGCTTACTCCCTGCAGTATCAGAGGCATGATTGTTAGAGAGTAGGAAGGTATTACTCTGTTCTTGCACTGTGTTAATGTGACCCTGCTCCAGCTGGCTGGCATAGTGGGCAGACTATCTGCCAGACACAGCAGGTGTGCTTTCTCAGCACGCTACACCTGGATCCTGGGGTGAGGCAGGTAAAAAGCTGACACCCAGGCACAGGGATAAAAGGTGAGCCAGAAGACTCCATAGGGAGGAAGACTGGCATGATGCTGATGACTGGTCTGTGCTCAGATGCTGCCACGAAAGGAGCTGGCTTAAATGCCTGAAGCAACTGCCAGGATAAGAAGGGATGGAGTGAAGTGCCAAGAGTCAAGGCTTCTGGAGTTAGAGAGATGCCAGGCACTGCTAGAGACAAAGCAGGCGGGGCACAGGTCTCCTGCCTGATGCTCCCCCTACCACACTCATCCTGATTTCTGCCTCCCAGCCATCTCCTGAAGCAATTTAGGTTTTGCCTCCTGTCAGGAACCAAGGACTTGCGGGGGGTGGGGTGGTGGTGTGTAGCCTCAGAAGGGCAGAGTGCTTCCTGCCTGCAAAGCCCCTGGAAGCTAGAGACAAAGCAGGCGGGGCACAGGTCTCCTGCCTGATGCTCCCCCTACCACACTCATCCTGATTTCTGCCTCCCAGCCATCTCCTGAAGCAATTTAGGTTTTGCCTCCTGTCAGGAACCAAGGACTTGCGGGGGGTGGGGTGGTGGTGTGTAGCCTCAGAAGGGCAGAGTGCTTCCTGCCTGCAAAGCCCCTGGAAGCTTTCTTTAAGGGGGGGGGCCACAGGTCTCCTGCCTGATGCTCCCGCTACCACACTCATCTTGATTTCTGCCTCCCAGCCATCTCCTGAAGCAATTTATGCTTTGCCTCCTGTCAGGAACCAAGGACTTGCAGGGGGGGGGTAGCCTCAGAAGGGCAGGGTGCTTCCTGCCTGCAAAGCCCCTGGAAGCTTTCTTTAAGAGAAGTTCTAACCAAGCTGTACGTATTCACTTGGGAGGTGAAGAAACTCCCTACCGCCCCCCCCCCCCAAGACTGGCATTCTAACCAAGCTGTACATATTCATTTTGGAGGTGAACAAACTCCCTACCGCCCCCCCCAAGACTGTGTTGACCAGTCAAACTGGGGTCTGTGGCTCATTGCAGGAGCTGAGCCATGCTGGGGACTGGTATACTATCTGCCCAAAGGGGTCTGACTCAGCAAGAACTTTTTCCTTCCCCAGCTTGGCAGAGCCTGGGTCTGACAAGAAGGACCCGATCCTGCTAAGGACTTTTTAGTTATGGCCCAGAAGGTCCTGGGTCTGCAAAGGACCATGTATGTCAGGGCCCGAGTCTGCCAAAGCCTATTCCTATTGAGGGTCAAGCCAGACCTGATTCTGTAAAAGACTTTTGGAGCAAGTTGTTGTCTCTTAATAAAGGTCCTTCTCCTGCAAAGACTCCACCTATCATCATGGAAGGGACCACTCACCATTAGGGATTCCAGTAAGCATCTTGACCACTCTAACGATAGAACACAAGATCAAGGAGGCTTGATCCAGTCTAATTCATCACAATTCTTCTTATACTCATAAAAATCAGCTCACCGTTAGAGATTCCAGTAAGCATCCTGACCACTCTAAGGATAGAACACGGAGATCAAAGATCAAGGAGGCTCAAGGAGATCAAAGATCACAATTCTTCTTATACTCATAAAAATCGCTAGTCCAATAGTATTTATGACCTCAGTAGAAAGTGTGGGAGGGACACACTGAGGATATCTAGAATGGGTGAGGGCAGTTTCAGTTCTGGCAGATTTTGCTACAAAATAATTCAGGCTTCTACATGGACAGTGAAGAGACGAAGCTCATCTCTCGAGTGTTCCATGACTGCAGCACCGAAACTTTGCTTTGTGCACATCCAGTCAATCTGTTGTGATGTCAGAAAGATAATGTATATTACCAAATAGGCAACCTTGTCATAGGATTCCCCCCCCCCCAACAAGTAGGAAGATCTTACGAAGTGGAAGTAAGACTGCCACAGGCAACAGTGAGGTGAAAAATGCAGCCTGTTATGAACAATTGCAAAGCTGCCCGGTAGAGGGCCACCTTCAGCTACCTCTGTCCCGCACAATGGTGTTCATAATGGCAGTTATGATCAAGAGAGGCACATCACTTTTACATACACCCGTGAACACGTTCTCATGGCTGCATTTTATCAGAAACACATAGATTGCTCTTAGCTAGAAAACCTGCTTATGTGCAGATCATCAGGTACTGATGTATTCCTGTTCCTTTGAAATGGTTAACATTCAGTGGTGTGGCATGTGTAGCCCTCCAGATGTTGGAGTGATGTAAACTGCAGTCTAGCAACAACTGAAAGGATTCGCGTTCCTCACCAGAAGCATGTAGGATGGCATCCTAACAGCCATAAATCATCATGCTTAGCTTTTCCCAGCAGAAAATGACTTACATTCTTTTATATGGCAGAAAGTGCAGAAGTAATTTTAGGAAGACTTGCGGTGTTAATGTTTGCCTCCTATGAAAGTGGTCTGAATCTTATTTCAATTTGCCCTGCAAATTGCAAATGTCTACCAGCAAGTGGGGAAAGGGCAACAAAATAGATTCTCATAATGAGCAGCAAACCAGTGTTCATTATAAGCATTCTTCCCCCAGCTTTGCTAAGATTGTGTTTGCCAACAGCTTCTGCAGCAAAAA